ATCAATTTGGTCGAAAACTGGTTTTGCGTAAAAATTCCCGTTTTCCTGTCATTTTTTTTTTGTTTTTCTCGATTTTTTTGAAAACTGTAGGAAAATGTTTACTTTTGACCTCTATAATGCACCAAGGATATTCATTTTTACATCGAAAACCACCCCCAAACTAAGGGTGGTTATGCTATGCATTTTGCCATTTTAGTTTTTTTTTTTGAAAGAAGTTTTTGATACATAAGCACGATCATTATTTGAGGGTGCTAATTTTAAAATTGGGGGTGCTAACTCGAAAACTAGATTTTCTTTATTGTATTCATAAAGTAAGATGATTTTAACTTTAATTGTTATTTATTTATTTATTTATTTTTTTGATGGCATAAACTGTAGGTTTAAATGCACAATTATATTTAATATTTGCAAATGTAAATTTTCATTTAATTTTAAACAATTATAATTGAGTTATATTAAGAAAGAAATAAAAAACTTTAACTACTACTTGTAGATTGTAATAAGAATTATTAATTATTTTCTAATTAGTCATTAATAATTTAGGTTCATGGAGTAGAAGTACTGTAACACTGTAACACATATAAAAATATCCTAATAATTCAACAACTTATACCTAATTTACTCTAGTATAGGAATTTAGTGGTTAATTAAGTGGATATTAAAGCTAATTTTAAAAACTACACTTAAAATAGTGAAACTTGAAATTTTTCTTTAAAACTCCAATAAAATGTTCTATTTTTAAAATTATTAAAAAGTAGATGTTAAATATAATATTTTCGAATACATGTTAAATAAATAATAAAAATTTTTTTCAAAACAAATCAAAATCTCGAGATTGATATTATTATTGGTAGGTATCCAACTAAATAATAAACTCATTTCTTAACATAGTTATATTATGTACTTTAATATCAGTGAGTTCTTGAAATGGAGTAATTTCTTTATTGAACAACTGTTTTTCTCGATCAATCCAATCAACAGTAGCATCGAATTTATCTAGTTTTCTAACTAATGCGTTCATGAACTGTAATTAATTAATAATTAATACAATTTTATAAAATATACACTTTTAATATTACTAGTTTATATTCGTAGAGTTTGTTGATGTCATCAATACGATCCAAGAACTTAAGGCTAGGTTCAAAAGTATCTAAATCATAGTTCAATTTACTAATTGTTTTTCCCATATTTTCTTCTCCTTTAGATTTTCCTGCTTCATAAATAGTAGAATATCTGATAAAAATATGTGATGATTTTTGTATCCACGCTACAGAAGACGCGTGTGCTTCCCACAATTCTTTAGGTAACACAGTATACTGTGATAAATCACATGCAATAGCAGATAAGTATTTCACCATTTCAATCATCTCTTGCATAAATGTGGTAGTAGCATATAACATATAATCACCAAGATCCAAAAACTCTTTTGAATTTTTCGGTTCGGAAAACGCACGTGCAACCATTTCGTTGAATTTAACATTCACTCTGAATAAGACGAACATTTTACAAGCCATATATACAACACAGCAGCAGTTAAGGCAACATTATATAATAATTATATCCAGTGCTTGAATTGGGAAAAATTAAGTAGAAGAGCTCAATCCAACGATTTAAAAACTGCGTTTCAAGTGCACAATTAATCAAAGCAGACCCGAGGGGGGCTTTGCCCCCCCACCCACATCCCCTTTTCCACCACCAACCTTACGTAAATTTTGAATACCTACCACTTTTCAGCTACACATAATTTAATTATATGAAAAATACTGATTATTATAATCTTGTACCGGTCTGTGTAAATGTCTAATTTGTAAAGAAAACATATTATAATATTTTTAATGCCTTCAACTATTATAATTTTAATAATTAATTGAACACAAAATTACTCGAAAAGTCGAAATTCGTCAAACTCGATTACAATACAAAATCGAAAAATTAAAAACACCGATAAATGATAACCATATAAGAAAGTAATAACTGAAACTGATAACATTTCGTTCGGAATCATTGAGTAAGATCTTACCCTATGTTCAAAACACGGTTTTTTTTAGATAGTACCTACCATCACACATTTGTATAGGTACCTATCTGTGCACCATACATATATTATGTGGACCGTAGAAAAGCACGGCTGTAGATATTAAACCGTATATCTTAAACCGTGTAGAAAATATATAATAAATTATTAAACTGTAATATCAAAAATAATAATTGTGATATGAAAAATAGTAAAACTTTTATATAATTGATATTTAATTAAAAATCCATATTTTAATAAAAATTATTTCAGACATTAGTTG